ATATAAAATTTGTGGCCATTATCCATTGAACGTTCAACTTCAGTCTGGTTCGTGTTGCCGCGACTTGTCGGATTGAGCGTCACGCCTAATTTTACTATCGAATAACACAGTCTGTCAGTCATTGCAACTGTACACCACGATCACAGTACCCTCCTCCTGTGGTGGTAAAATGTCAATATGCCCTGTGTTGTGTGTGGTTATATTATTTATGCAGGGGGTAAGAAAATCTAACTTTTGACCCATGTTACATGGAGTACAACGCTCCTAGTTATCTGGTCTAGCCCTCAAAAAGAGGGAGTCCGCAGCAAAATGAAGGGAGTCTGCAATCTAAGTTTTTCAAAATGAAAGATACCCGCATGTGCATCGCATGTGGTTTATGTTTAAGATTGTGTCGGCTTGCACGTCTGGCCAAATTTTCCTTTGACATTAGTAGAAATCACAGTAATTCCGCCGACTAGTTAGTACTGGCAGAATTTTCTGGGAAGTCACACGACTCCATCCCGATATGCAAATCGAGAGTATCTTGACTCCGGACTCCCGTTAAGTTCGCACCCTGATTATATATGTCAGAGAACATACAGTTGGAAGTTATATACCGTATCCGGAGTCTAATCAGTGTGACAATTGTGTACAGGGTGATATTTGCTGTATCTTAGTATTACAGGCTACTATTACCTAGTCAAAAAGTAGTAACTAGTATAGTATAAACATGTTGAATGAACTCCTAACTTCTAGCAGTCACTGTATCGGCGTGATGCTGGTGCCTTGCAACTACTATAGGACTATAGTGTAGAAGTGATTCACAGACTGTTTGTCTATTCTGTCCTTGAAAACCATAATGGTAGAATATAATTTTAGAATTGCGGGGCGCATTTATTTGATGGACTCTTTCTGTTTGTGTATCGCAATGCGTATCGTATCATGACCCTGAGTGTATCCGCGCTACACCTCTAGTAGAATGATAATCCCTGGCTGATATCGATATTTTAACCTTTCTTTGGTCAATGTAATGGTAAAGCATCATTATTTATGTGGTTTAGAAACTCATGGTTCTTAGCGAAATATTATTGGCTTCCATGAGTGGTAACAATGGAGATAGCAACGCGTGAAGTAACAATGAGTCCTGCGACATAAATCATTTGTGGGCTCTGCTTCAGTGATTTTGAATATTGACTGGCCTGAGTGTTATTGTCTGTGTTATAGTCTATCTAGGTCGTGGCTCCACAGGAACATTTTTAGCTTTAGTTTGTGTTTAATGAAGTCTGATTCATGCATGACTGATACATTGGACAACTTATGATACTGTAATTATTTAGCTCAAACTTCAGACTCGGTTACGATATGCCATTGTTTGGTCAACGTTTAAATTTCCATTTAATTTTCGTGGGTCTATGACAAGTAGGGGGGTATGGTCAGAGACAGCGTGCACGGTCTTTTAGGCTATATAATTAGTCATAGTCATCATTAGTAATATTGTATAAGCCATTACCAAAATGAGATTGTGCGTGTTAATGAAGGGTTCTGCTGTAGTACCCACTTATGTATGGTTAATAATTTTGTAATCAGTGTTGTCAGTTCCAGAGTTTATGCAACCGTTACTAAATAATTTGTAGTTTGTTAAACATTTATACCTAATTCGAGGAAGCTCTAAGTTGGAGTATGCTGTCGCGAAGCACTTGCGTTTTTAACCTGGCTTGAAGAAGTCCAACTATGTACAGTAATAAAGTAGAACTATTTAACAGGTAACCGGCGTACAATTTACGTTGTCGTTTGTGACTTATATTTTGTGACCCCAGGCAGAGTGTGCCTATACCTGTTTAGCGGCTTGTCCGTATGTGCCATGCTAATCTTAACCAACAAGTCAACCAGTGTCACACAGTGATCCTTATAATAAGCTATTAGCGATTCGTGTGAGTAGCGAATGTATTCCTATGAAGCAGAGTCAATGTCAACAGTTTGGTTGATGAAGTACTGAATGAACTGTTTCGCTTGCCATGTCAATGACCTCTAAGTGGAAATTTAAACATATAGTTGGATCACACGGTCGTATGCACTTCTATATTCAGCCCATGGGGCCTAGCTTCACAAGGAACATGTTATGCACGCATGTTTGCGTCTAAATACGGTGATATGTCGTCAGTTGTGGTGTCTATGCAACCATTATAAAACGCTATATCATTACATTAACCAAGTTCAAGTTGGATAAGTGTGTTTTTAAAGCCGGCAGCAATGTCATCCAAATACGCTAATATTCTGCCAGTAACTAGACTAGGCAATATCTCGTGTCATGCATAATCACAACTGGACTTACAATTATGACATAAAATAAATCTAGTTGCCCATTTCACTGCGCGTTTGCTTAAAACCCACAAGCAAAGAGGTGAGAAAACTGGACAATCTGCGAACGCGACTGTTTGCCAACAATATAGCCTCGGAAGGTGGCTGACGTTGACGTCACACAGGTTTTTTAATCTTTGGCTACGAGGCCCGTACCGCCTGTACGCAAGCAGCGCGTGCATGCTTGCTCTGGGGATTGGGGAAACATAGTCACAACATTGGAGAAATTTGAACAACATTGGAGGTATTTTTCAAATACCGGGTTGTATATAGACAGCCGAGCACAGGCAGCTTGAAATGGGAGGAAACTTAGAGTTATATG